CTGCAGTAAGTAAGAAAAAAGGTCTCGTACCTATTCTATATAGTTATTTTAATAAATCTAACCAATAATTTAATAATTTCTTAACATCAGCATTATGTTGTTTTTTATCCTGTCTACACTCTAAAGCACCTACATTTAGTATTAAGTTTAAACACAATGATGATAATTAAAATTAATCACAATTTTTAAAATATATTTAAAGTTGTTAGGCACGTCAGTAAAAGAAATAGATACCATTCAGGCTTCATGTTGTGAAAATAACGAAAATAATATAAAGCAAGTTCTGAAATCAAATGACTGTGAACCAACTAATTTTAGGAATGACTCACACTCTGTAAGAATACTAGAAGACTTACAATCCCAACGCAAGTATGTTAACAATGATTTTACTATCATTCAAAATAAATATGAGTAACACATTTTTGTTTTTAGATAAGAAGTTTTATGTGACATTAGATTTGAAGCAGATGATGGTAAAATTGTAATTGGACATAAAATGTTTTAATAGCAGCTAGTCCATATTTCCGTGCAATGTTTAATAATTTTGATGAGGGCAATAAAGATTTTGTTAATATAAGAGAATTAGATTCCACCATTTTACTACTATTAGTAGATTATATCTATACTGGAGAAATTATGGTCACAAAAGAAAATGTACAGGTATAATAAAATATTTTATTTGATATCGACTTCAAACAACATATTATTTTATGTTAATTATTGTTGATTTCTTAGGTGTTGTTACCTGCCGCAAATATCTTACAGTTAGATTATGTAAGTGGTGTATGTGCTGAGTTTCTACAAAAACAACTGAATCCATCAAATTGTCTTGGTATCATAGCGTTTGCTGACTTACATAACTGTACTGATTTGTTGTCAATTTCTGAAGCATATATTAAACAAAATGTTTTGTATGATTAACATTTTTTAATTCTCTATATCAAGAGTAAGTATGTAATTTATAATAAAAATTATGATTATTATTTCCAGAGAAGTAGCTAAAGGCGAAGATTTTCTATCCTTATCTTCTGATGATTTGGTGAAGCTTATTTCCTCTAATGACCATTTGAAGAAAAAGTAAGCAAACTACAAATTATATTTTTAATATTATGTATGGAAAATCAACATATGTAGGATAAAGGTGGGCAAGTATACAGTACAGTAGTTGATGTCTAGACCCCACAGGGATCACTGTATCAGATGTGTTATATTTGTATTCAATGATATAAAATCATTGTAAGCGAAGAGGATTCTGAGCTCTAAAGGTTTAATAATAATTAATATTACCAAGAATATTTTATGGTATGGTTGATAAACTAATTTATTTTACCACTGTAGTAAGCAAGTTACTACGTAACAATAAAACCAAATTCCACAGGTGCATAATTATTATAATAGAGGGTAGACCGGCATAACCGGGAGATTAGGGGACATAAAGGACACCAGGGTTCAAAAAATAAGCGGATGAAATATTTTACAGAAAAAACTGAATATGACGAAATCAAAATATAAAAGAGTAAAAAAGATTATTTTATAATAATCATAATGTAGAAATACATGCAGTCGTAAATGCGTAGGCTGGATTAATGTCCACACAAATCACATCCATGAGAACCAAGATTATCGTATCTGTAGGCGAGGAGCACGGGGAACTTCATATATAAGGGAGCCCGAATCAGCCTGTTTTCAGACGTGTACTACCACCCATTAGAGCAAGCACCTTCACGTCACTTTGTACAATATTATTTGGACTTAGGAAAAATTATCAAACGTTATAATAAAATTCACAATATACAACAACTGTCTTATTATTCATTCATCAACCATGACTTCAACATCATATAAAGTGTCTGCGACCTGCAACTATAACGTTTTGGTAGCCACTTATCTACTATCAGCACTACGATAGTAGGTACCAAGCACCGAGATCGTTACACAAGACATTAGAAAAACTGTATTTCTGTAGCAGTTTTAATTATTTTTCCAAAAAAGGTGCATATGAAAAGATCATTGTGTGCATACAATATAACAATATACTTTAAAATTTTAAGTTCCTACAAATAATATTTTTAAACTAAATAACTAAAATCAATAAAGCTTGATTACCATAGAAAATAATTTTATTGACTGTTATTGAAAATAAACAAAAACATGTCTTATTTTAAATGTCTATAAATATTAAATAACTCTAAAATAGTTAAAACGTTTGTATCTCCTTGATGATAAAGAAGTTTTGCGGTCGGCTCCGACTGTAATTAATTTTCTATAACTTTCACCTCCACGTACCACATTGATTAGTCAGTAGGCCCAAACAATTTTGCAAACGCAGCACATAAACCTCGACATTTTCTACTGCATGTCTATATTGTGATTTATGTGTATTCAAAAATAACAAATAATATATATTATTTAATACCATAAAAATATAAGAATTATTAATTAATATTCCTTTGCTTAATATAAACAGTAGGAACACATGATCTTAAAGATCTATTATATTTTTGGGATCCTGTGATAATTATACACTATTGAATAGTTGAACAAACTATTATTATATCTTAATCTAGTTTTAAATATTTTTTATTGTAGGTATTTGAATGTGTTATCAAATGGGTAAAACATGATTCAGATCATAGAATAGATTTTTTGCCAAAACTAATGGAACATATTGTACGTTTGCCATTATTAGCATCAAAGCCTGATGTATTAAATAATGTAGTCGAAGAACCTCTTCTGAAGAATAGCCCTAAATGTATATTTTAATAAATACGTCTTCATTATATGTAATTATATCTTTTGTTGAATATTATTTAATGTGTATAGATAAAGATTATGTGTTTGAAGCTATACGATTTAATCTACTTAAGTCAGTTCAACATTTCACCATTCCAAAAAACAATTCGGTGTAAACCTAGGCAGTTTGGTGATTCAAAAAAGGTATGATTCCGTTTTGATAAATTTATTTTCACAATGATTTTGTCCATTTAATTCTATTAGGTTATTCTAATGTTCAATCTGTCTGATAAATCGCCATTGTGTTATACAGAATGGTATGATCCAGCAACCAAACTACGTGAGAAAGCACCAGGAATAAATGAAAGTCGGCTGAGTGCTGGTTTTGGTGTGATAAATGATCAATTTGTGTTTTCTGTGGGAGGTGTAAATGGATCGAGTTCTAAATCTGTTAGTATGCTTGACGTATCTTCACAATCACCATCATGGGTTCCAATGGCCGACATGTTAGTTAGTAGAATGCGTTTGGGAGTTAGTGTATTGGATGATTGTATATATGCAGTAAGTTAAATCAATATTTTACTGTGGAATATAGGCTATAAATTATAATGTATAACGAATTAATTACATATTGCCTACATAATAATAACATTCATTTGAATTGCTTTTTATTTAAGAATCACTTCCTGCCATGCCCTTTAAGAACCTGAACAAATTTTCCAGCCCAACAGTATTCAATTTCCTGGTTAAAATGTATTTGAATGCATAGTGTTTTCTTAAATCAACTAACAAATTGTTCAAAGATGTGTTGCATATAATTTCTATTGACAATGTATGTTTTGATTAATAATATTTAATAAAACAAAATGCATTGTTTATTTTAAAGGATATGAAATATTTGTATATTATTACCTTTTTAAAAAGGTAGTACCTAATAATGTCTTACTTGCTTTGAGATATTTTTTTCTCTTGCTTTTTCTTCGAGTTTCCTAGATATTTTGAACCTACCATAATAGAATCAGTCCAAAGGCATTCTCTACTCCCTATCCACAGAATGATTTTTTCTTTACTAACAAATATAGTCTGTAGAGAAATATATATATCAAGAAACATATATAATTTATAAATACCAAAAATTAATTTATTTAGGTGCTTCCTCTCTCTGGAAAAAACAAAAAATCACAATTGTAGATAAAAAAAAAGAACATACAAATCCTAAAAAGTATGTAGTAATATTACTTATTAGATCAAACATGTAATAGTAATGAATCGTAATATTAATTATACAAACTAAATAATCAATAATAATCAATATAAAATATAAATATATAATCCAATTTCTTTTTAAATAAAAATAAATCCATGAAAAATTTTTTAATATAAATTGAAATTATAATATTTGCTTAGCAGTCGATCACAGTCATTTATATGACAGGCATATCAGTCAAGTTGCTGAAAGAAGAAAAAAGACATTAATTATACTATTATATAACAGCAGTATATTAATTTAACAAATATATTATTACTTTTCAGCTATGGGAACAGTATTTCACCGTTGTTGTCACATTTTTCTTGTAGGGTTGTTATATACTTTCGCGTAGAACTAAAAAAAAATAACAACAAAAATATTATTACCTATAATATTAAAATTTTTATGATTTTTTTAAACTTTTATGCCTCTCATCTAAAATTCAAACTAGTAGTTTCTGAGTAATTAAAATGTATATATCAAGAATAATATTCCACAAATATGGTTTTACAAAAGTATGAAATGTATATTATGTATAATCTAAAACTGATTATTCATATTATACAGTTTTTACAAATAATCAAATGATAGTAAATTAATATTAATTACTATACCTGCCTACTTTTTATATCATTATAGTTCCAAATCTTTTAAACCAATATTATGGACCTAATATTCTTAGTACACAAAATTAAATAGGGAACTCAATAACTCTTCATTTGAATTTTGATTCAGATCCTTCATGATTTCCAAAAAAAGCTTTAGCTAAACAATTTACAGGAAAAAAGGGTGAATCTCATTTACAGAAAAAAAAAAAGTTAGTTATAATGAAAGTGTTATAGCTTATTTTAATTTTTCACATTATTTTTAGAAAAACAGTCAATTGAATGATTAGATAGTTGGTAGCCCAAGTAGTCGTAAATTTAAATAATTTGGTTAGTAAGTTTACCATTTAACCATGAATTATTTGGTTTTTAGTAATTTAGGACCATCACTATTTGTTACTTGCTACTGTATACTATAAATATTGATACTTTTTACATAAATTTTCAATTTCAGTTAAATTACCTCTTACATGATTTTTGACATTTATAGGGTGTTTAATTCCATTCACTTTGGTACTATTTGAAGATGGTGTAGGTTGTAGAGGTTTACCAACTGCTAACTTTTTCAGGTGATTTGTTGAATGTTTGGATTTATTATCAGAAGAAATCATTTTCATCCATCTATTGTAATTCTTTTTATCCATCATTTTCTTGGGATCGATGACCCAGATCTTTGGTTTTAGATTTTTAGCCGATTCAGTAAATTCATCACAATCAATTAACATGGGTATCTCCTCAGCATTGGTAGAAGCAATTTCATTATTGTATTTTAATGTAGACTTGAATTGTGATTTAAAATTATTAGTTTTACCCTCTCTAGATAATATCAATTTCAAAACATCATTTCCATTTGTATCTAACTTCCGCTTTTTTTTAGCAGGCTCGCCATCTATAGATGTACCACTTTTTTTAGATGTTTTAATGACTTTTGACTTTTTATCATCTTTAGATGTTATATTGGTTTTACATGTCTTAACCTGTTTTAATGCAGTATCATCTTTTTTGGGTGTATCCATATTCTTAATTAAGCTCCTAAAATTAATAAAAATTATAAACTTAAATAAATGTTTTGAGATAAGTATCATATTAATATTCAAAATATCCATGTATTCAAAAATAAAATAGGTATTCGTATTTAAGATTATAGATTATATTTATAAATTCTTAAAAAGTTCAATACAATTATTTATTTAAAGTACAAATTACATTTAAATATAAATCAAAAGTGATGTGACGAATTGTACGAAAATTGAACCAAAACAAATGCTTAATAGATTAATTGATAGGCTATAATGTAGTGTGCTGTCTACCCTTTCTTATATTTAAGATAATATGGTTTAATCGAAATGTGTATAAGCAATCGTCATAATAATACTATATTATTAAAAAGACTTTCAGAACTAAGTGATGGTTCGAGAAAATGTTTTTAATGAATAAAAGAGAAATGCAATTTGGCTCAATTTTCTATTCTGATTTCTGATAGATAGCTGGCGAATGGCGATGATGGAAATCTCAAATAGGATATTCCCACGAAGTGGCAAATCACAGGAAAAAGTTGTTGTTCTTTTGAAAGTAAAAACTGCGGCTGTAAAACTTGTTCGGACTCGACGGTGAAAATACCGCAGTACCTATGGCCGGAATCTTACAGATGAAAATATTCAAACAATTAAAAATCGGACTTCATGTCTTCATGGTATATAATTTTTATTATTCGTCATAGTTTTATCAAAATTAATATTTTAAAAAGTTTTTAGTTTTTTAAAGTGGCCTGTAATAGAAAAATTGAATACGGCTTACGCTATGAATACTTTAAATTAAAAAAGTTTGGCTTCAGTTTGGTTTGTCCTCAAAATGAAGTGTTTGTATTATATTATAGTGATCACTAGTACCTACCACACTGTGTTCGGAAAGTTCACTAAAAAAATGAATTCGTTCGTGTTTACGTTCGGTGCTTAAAAAAAGGAACTTGTTCACGTTCAAATTCATATTTTTTTCATTTGAACACGTTCTCGGTCTTTGAAAATATGATTGCGTTCATACTTCATTTCGTCTTTCATTTAATTTATTTAATTTATTTTTATGTATTGTTTAAATACGAATACAAAATGGAGGAAATCATAATTGATAATATATTATTGTTGTTTTATGTCCAGTAACCCGTTTTCCTAATTCACACGTGTCCCCAGCCACCCCCCCCCCCCCACTCCCAAAAATACTTGAAAATAAGTGATTTTGATGTGTGGGGGGGGGTCAGAGACACATGTCTACAGCCTCCTCCCCCCACCTATTTTTTGATACCACGCTTAATTGAAACGCATACAAATTACAAAAGTTAGCATGCAAATACATGATAAATATTTACGAAAAAAAATTTGAAAATTCCAATGTGGGGGGGGGGCTGGGGACATAAACTTGTGAACTAGCGTTCTTTCCAAACACTGCCCACTTATATATAAATTTAAAAATAAACTTACAATTTATAATTTTCAATGTCTTCTGCAGTTAATCGTGTCAACTTAACTTCACATTTGTTATAAAAAACATCGTTAAACAAGTTATCGATATACTTTTTATTATAATACGAGTCCATTTTCGTTCTGAAAAAAAACAAAATATCTGCATGAGATAAGAAATACAATGTTTGAGTAGTTTTCAAAAGCACCGGGAAAAAAAAAATAAGGAAAAATGGCAGTTTTTATAAAAATTCGGTTTTTGTCAAAATCGATTTTTTTGTTTTTGTTGTAACTCTAAAACAAATGACTATTACGTAAAAAAAAATTAAAATTTTTATAAACGCCGAGCGAAGTCAAATAGCGTTGCGCGCCAGCACATAAACGTAAAATCGCAAACTTTGAGAAGGCTTATAACTTCTAAAATATAATAGTTTCCGTTAAAAAAATGTACACTATCGTTTTAAGCATAACAAACAAGCCGTTAAAAAAAAAATTGAAAATTTTATATCCATTAAATATGCAAAACATTTTTACATAAGTTTCAATCTATTATGATTCGTAAAGATTACTGATGAAAATCCAAAAATACGAAAAGGAAAAAATATTGGTACAGTTATAGGTAGGTACATACGAATCCGCGCTCTATACATATACTAACTTTAGTCATAATATAACAACAAAAAAATAACACAGGATACGACGCCAGTATATAGTATATAACCTTACCTATTACAATAATTAAAATTTAGTAAGCAATCCTAAGATGATTTTATACCTAAAAAAAAAGATAATTTAAGTTAAATTTACTTACGTGTCTTGTTGATTGCTGGAGTCAAATTGTCAAATAAATTGAACGGTGTGCAGAAATCGTATACCTCATCACCCCACTACAACATCGCGATAAGGATAAATTATTAAGCTTCGTGTGAGATAGATCACGAAAATGGATACGGTAGACAGGCAGAGTCAGCGACGTTCATAATATTAAATATAGATTATTAATCTATATCGTCAGCCCTATAATAAGTAATAACCGACGATAAGATAATAGTATTCCAATATTAATATTTTATACAAGCAGTTATTTAATAATGTCAATCTTATAAAAAATTGTTAATAAATATAATAGAAATTAATAACTTATAATTATAAAATTATAATTTTAGTAAATTGGTTGATTTTTTCAATCTTATAAAAAAAGTTGTCAATAATAAATTGTTAAAATATAAAATATAGTTCTAAATTGAATATCTATTAACCGTGGCACACATGTATATCTAGGATTTTGGTTCTTTCGTACGAAACAATTTTTTTTCCAAGATAAAGACCGGTGCAGATATAGTCGTAGGTTGATGACCCGTCCGGAGGTCGTGAACCCCTATTGTAAATCCCCGGTGCTGACTTATCCGCTGCTCAGTCGTAAAATGATGATAATTTATTATAGATTTAGATAAACACTAGGTAATCTTTTTTCTTTATAGTTTCTATAATAACGTATTTAAATTATTCCATAATAACTGGGTACCCATCCATCTGTTTGTAGAATGTTAACACCTATAAGGCAGTCCCTAAAATTGTGTGTAGTACGTGTGTGTTGAGGGGGGTGGGGGGTGATCTTAAAAATGTCTGAACCATTGATTATTGTACTAATGACTACCGTAAAAAGGGGTGACTTCGGACAACACCAGGTTTTTCAATGGAATTTGCATGTATTTACAGTAATTTAATTTATAGTTACACCACTTACACGAAATACCGAAACCGATTTTACGTAAAAATTCACGTTTTCCTATATTTTTTTTTGTTTTTCCTGGCGCTTTTGGTGACTAGGTAGGTACTGTTCATTTCGACATCCCCTATGCACCTACTAGATTCACTTTGCAAATGGAAAAGATGAAAAGCAAAGCATTATTTCGACTACTTATCGTGTACACAGACCCAAATGATAAATTTTATTACGCAGAACGTAAATTTTCTAATTGTTTCAATATAGGTCGATTCACTCTAACTTTTGAACTGACGATGCTAAATGTGATCTGCTGATCGTAAATTTGCTTTAAAGACGGAGACAATAAAATGCCCGTGTTACGTCTTAAATCGTGGTTCGTGGAGCTGCATCGTTCACGAAATTTCGGACTTGGGTAAAATGTAATATTTTAATGCCCGCCATTTTGTCTTATCACCATGTAACACGAACTATGATAGTAATAATTGTTATCAAATAAATAACAACATAATGATATTATTATTTTAACGATGTAGACTTAAAATTTGAATCACTCGCGAGTCTCGATTATTTGAAATTCGAACAAAAATACAGACTACAGAACTACGGTCGTAGGTACAGAGTACTATTCATAAATTTTGGTACAAAATCACCAAAGATAAGTGTATTCTTTTTAGTAAAACATCCAATGTATAGCTTCGCCACAATACGTTAATTTGTAAGTATTATTTTCTAGTTGTACTGATTATATATCTTAATACTGTGGAGTCAGTCTAATTTGCTAATTTGTTTACAAATATAGGTAGATTTCCAAAAAATCAATGAAATAAAAGGAAATAATGGCTACAAATGTTCGAATTATCACGATTTCTACCTGGCATAGAATCTGCAGCGGTAATCATTTCTCAATTATTAGTGATTGTAAACAATGCCCAGTAAATTAGTAAATATGGTCAGAGGCTGTCTCAAAACATAATCCAAACCACTTGTCTGGGATAGAGAAGTAAAATAAATGTTAGTACTTTACAGCAACATTGGTACTACTCTGAGCACGACTAGTAAATCGCATCTAAGAGGTAAAATCATTTAACATAATCCATGAATTTGGTAGCGTCTCTACGTTTTTTATTCGCCCAGAAAATAATGTCAAATTCACACACACATGTGTATAAGTATATCACACAAGTATCCAATTTTAAATGTTTGCCAAAACCAAAAGTTACTTAACAGTTTATCGTTTTTAGCTCATACAATGGATTATACTTATTATGGTAACTGAAATATATGCAAGATCGTAAATTTGCTTTAAGGACGGAGACAATAAAATGCCCGTGTTACGTCTTAAATCGTGGTTCGTGGAGCTGCATCGTTCACGAAATTTCGGACTAGTTCGGTAAAATGTAATATTTTAATGCCCGCGATTCTGTCTTATCACTATGTACCACGAACTATGATAGTAATAATTGTTATCAAATAAATAACAACATAATAATATTATTATTTTTTCGATGTAGACTTAAAATTTGAATCACTCGCGAGTCTCGATTATTTGAAATTCGAACAAAAATATAGACTACAGAACTTTACAGTATTTACAGTAATTTATTTTAGAGTTACACCACTTAAGTACACGAAAAACCGAAACCGATTTTACATAAAAATTCACGTTTTCCTATATTTTTTTTTTTTTCCCCGTCTTTTTTTGAGACTAGGTAGGTACTGTTCATTTCGACATTCCCTATGCCACTACTACTACTACACTCCCTTTCCCACGGGAAAAGATGAAAAGCGAAGCATATTATTTCGACTAAATATCGTGTTTACAGACCCAAATAATAAATTTTATTACGCAGAACGTATAATTGTTTCAATATAGGTCGATTCACTCTAACTTGTGAACGGACTATGCTATACACGATAACAATTTCAAAATGTTTTGATTTATTTTGAACTGTTTATGCTCATTTTCATTTTCCATTTTTTTTAGTTTTTTTCTAAAAATATCAATAAAAGTTTATTTGTTGGTTAAAACAGGTTGAAAATTAATACTAGGCTCCTATTATATTGTTACAATCGCATTTAAAAAATATTAAAAATCCTAAGTCACAGTTTTTTTTATAACCATTTATAGTTCAAAAATTGATAAAATATGGTAAAATCACGAATATTAGCAAATTATTTTGAGTTAAGAATTCGTAAAAATTTTTCTTTTTAAATCTAAGATTTGAAAATGTAATACAAGATTCCTTATAAGATTATCTACCTTTATCAAAAAAAAAATGTCTATAAGAAAGTCAAATTAAATTTTTATGAGCGTTTGAAATTCAAATTTTTACAACATTGGATATTCACTCGATTTCTCATGTAGCGATTTCCTTATTTTGTTGTAATTCAATAACGAATAACTGTAGGTACATGAAAATTTCACTGAATGTTTAAATTAGCATTTTTTATACACCATAAAGTTTTGAAAATATTTTGACTCTTTTTGAGTTGTTTACGGATATTTTGAATTTCGAATTTTTCTAGTTTTTTATTCTATAAATATCAATAAAGTTTTATCTGTTGGGCCAAAAAGTGTAAAAATTTAATACAAGACTCCTGATATATTGTTACAATATCAGTTGACAAACATTGAAAATACATAGGCACAAATTTTTTTTATAAGCATTTAAAGTTGGAATTTTGACAAAATATATCAAAATCTCGAAAATTATCTATCATTGTAATTAATAAATTATAAAATGTTCAGTTTTTATAGCTAAGGATTACAAATGCAACACAAAGGTTCTCATAAATAGTTCATACTATAACCAAAAAATCGAAAAAATATATGAACACACTTATTTTTTACAGACATTTTAAATTCAAATTTGGACGAAATTACATACCTAGAATAACTATTTTAGTTATTTTGTTGTGATTGAATAATATTATTCGTGGGTACTTGAAACTTCTAAAGTGTACTATTATATATCTATGATAGTATCACGGTTTTTGTTGATGTATAACGCGTTATAAGCACCTAATGGATATGGTGATATGATTAATTTTGAATTTATTATAGGTACCTATTATAGGTCAATTTTTTGTTTAACACCATAGATATGTATATAATATGTCTTATACCCAGACTGACATACCGTCTCCGCTCAGAATCGTTTTTCTTATACAATGATATTATATCGTTGAATTCAAATTTAATACCATCCATTATACATTGACCCACTTGTAACCTACTGTACAGCAGAGCGACACCCACTTGCCCACCTATTTTATTATTTATTTACGAGGTGGCCGAGCGGTCTAACGCGTCGGCTGCGGCGCAGCCTATCCGGGTTCGATCCTTGGTCACCGGGCGGCATTTTTCTTCGGGCAAGTCACGGTGTCCGGAGAATAAGTGCCGCCATC